GATTTTGAACTAGTTCAGTTGGATGTGAAAATCACAGTTTCACATGGTAGTTTTGAAGAGAAATCTACAAGACTCAGCCAAATGATTACAGGGTTGCGGAAAAGGAAAATTGGGTTTGCAGATCAAAGAAATCGCTATATGGATTGAAATAGTCACCAAGACAGTGGTATAAGTGATTTGATCAATGTATGATGGATCATGGGTAAACAATGCCTGATATTTCACAAGCAGTTAGTATGGTGAGCAGGCATATGCATGATCCTGATAAAGGATATTGGCAAGTTGTGAAATGGTTTCTACGGTATATTTGAGGTACTGTAGATATTGGTTTGGTTTTGAGCAGGATAATGATCTTAGTCAGTTTGTTGTTAGTTGTGTGTGATTCTGATTACGTCGGTGATTTGGAAAAGCATCATTCAAGTACTGGTTATTTGTTTACGATTGCTAAAGGACCAGTGAGTAGGAAGTCTACTCTACAGTCTACAGTCTACAGTTGCTCTGTCAACCACAGAAGTAGAGTATATGGCAATTTCAAAGGCTACAAAAGAGGGAATTTGGCTTCAAGGGTTGCTTGATAACTTGGGAATTGTTTTGAAACACATTAGTGTGTATTGTGATAGTCAGAGTGTTATTCATTTGGCCAAGAACCAAGATTATCACGCACATTCAAAACACATCGATGGTCAGTTTCACTTTGTGCAGGATTATATTGAAAACAGGAGATGGTTCTTCAGAAGATTGGAACAGAAGATAAATACTACAAATATGTTGACTAAGGTAGTGACAAGGGTCAAGTTCACTCATTGTTTGAGCTTGATCAACATCCTACAAGTTTGATTGCGCCATTTGGCGCATTTGAAGGTGTTGCAAAATTTGTTAGAAGAATATAGGAAACTATTTGAAAGATAATCTCATCAAGGTGGAGTTGACTTGTGTTTTTCGCCAAGGTGGAGACTGTTGTAAAATTGGCTCAAACATTTAAAATAGTGGTTTGTGCTCATATCCCACATTGCTTAGTTAACAAAAGGCTAAGGCTTTTGTTAGCTATATATAGGGATATCAGGCTTTGGTTTGAGTATCCAAATCCATTTTTGGATCCCCAAATGTTTGGGAGTTTGTATTTGAGTGTTTCCTTTTGTTTTGGTAAATTGTTTATGTGCCTATATGGTTTGGCTACTTGTTGTATTGCCCAAATGTTTGTAATGTTCTTCTTTGAAGATAGTGGAGTTTCTTTTGCAGTGCTCGAGGATATAAGTTACAATACCAAACCTCGTTAATTCCTAGTATTCTTTATTTTTGCATTTATTTTGGTCATTTATTTTTACTTTACTAGTTGTTATTATTATATTCAATAGCTAGCATTAGAGTTTTTGTTTCCACTACACAACAATAACCACCGAATGAAAAAGCAAAATTCCAAGTAGGAACGCCCGTTCATCATAGAGGAATGCCCATTCCACTATATATACAGACCGCTCCACACAAACGACTTTGTTCCAACATGTTGTTCACAATTCTGCCCAAATTGAAAGAACCTCCAGTCAAGCCATTCCAGAATGAACGACCACTCCATCAAGCTGTTCCACATCTATCTTAAGTCAAAATTGAAAGGCTGATACATCTTGAAGATCTAAAGCAAAACGATTGTTCCATAGGAACAAACAATCGTTCACCAAGTTGTTCTACCAGAAATGTCACCATTCCAACAGGTTGTTCGCGATTCTGTCCAAGATGGCACACTTTGAAGGTTTGAAGCAAAACGGTTGTTCTGACCGTTCAAGCTTCAATCAAGTTTTTGAAAATTGAAGTGTCAGATACGATTTTGTCCAAAAGGAATGATTTTATTCCAACAAGTTGTTCATGTCTCTGGAATTTTTGGATATCTATTGGTCAAAGAAGGAACGCACGTTCTAAAAGACTGAACTCCCGTTCCCAAGAAATGGACACCTATTACAAACAAGTGGAACAACTAGTACCAAACCTAGATTTCAAATTTTATAACCGTTAGAGTTAAGAACGCCTGTTCCTATGTCAGGAACGTCTGTTCCTTTGTGTTCTCCAACAACCACCAACTTTTGCAAAACTTCACATATTTTCTCAAATTTGATGCAAACCTTTCCAACAACTCTATTTGACTTCACACAAGGTCAAAGTATAAAAAGGAAGATTTTTTAAGAGAAGAAGTAGAAGAGAACTGTGCAAACATCTATCAATCTTTCTTGCAAACCCTAGAGCTCAATTCTTGAACATCATATTCACTTTCTCTTTGTACTCATACTTGATATTTTTAGAGAGAACATTAAAACCCTTTGTGTGTATCAACCTAGCTTAGAGGCAATCTTTCAAAACAATCCTTTTATACATCTTTAGAGGTGAAATCTTGTAAACCTAGAGGCGAAATCCTATAATTCTATTGTATTGGCAAAATCCGAGTCTAATGGAACTTCAAAGAAGTTGCCTTAAAGAAGTGGATGTAGAAGGCTCTTAATCAAAGCTTTGAACCACTATAAATCCTTGAGCATCTCTCTTCTCTCAACTCATTTAATTTTTTTGCACACTTAGTACTTGGAGGTTACAAAGTAATGCGAACGGCCTATAGGCCAAAACAAACTAAAATGACAAAGGCACACATGCCCCTGTCACCATAGCACGTAGGCTCAATAAAAAAAGGCACAGATGCCTATAAAGGAGCACACAGACTCATAACAGAAACATAAAAAGAGGCACAAACACCCAAAGAGAGCACGTAGGCTCTACAAAGAAGAAAAGGAATAAGAAACTAGGATCGCCGTCCTTTCTTCTTACTCTTTTTATCCTTGGGTATCGGTAGATCTAGAGGACGAGAGGACTGGGATTGGAGCATTGGCCACTCCATGTTAGAGTGGAGGTCCACCTCAACGTCTTTGGTGGGGTAGGATAACTGCCGCTCCAGCCACTTGAAAAGGCTGCTTCAGTGTTTGTGTTGCAATGGGTAGTAGGAAATATGGCTAACGACCCTTCTTGGCCGTCAATAGAAGACTTGTCGCTCAATTGGTCCCTCGCCGCACTTTTAAGGGCTTTGTGGGGCAAAATTCACGAGCCTCAATAAACAAGTCACTACCTGGGAGGACATCCTCTTGGTTAGGGAGGGTGGTGCTCACAGGGAGAATCTTTAAGGCCCTGGGAGGTCTCGACATCGGATCATCACTTGGGAGGGCATCCTTCCGGAGGGCTCGCATTTATTATTGTTGTATGTCTTAAAGCATTGTGGTAGTTAGAGTTTAAATTCCGCATTAATTTTTTATAACTCCTACTCAACATAGAAGATGAGGCTCAGGTGAAGGCAGATGTTCAGGAGAAAGAGACTAGATCGTATCAACAAAGGATACTATAGCTCAACACACACCTGGCCGGATAAGCTGAGGGGAAGGAAACCCTCGAAGCGAGCTCCATACCAAATAGCTGTAGAGAGAGAGAAGTCAAATTCTACCGCACTGAAGAGCGAGATAGTCAAGCTGACCGAAGAGTGGGTTGACCAAAAACTCATTCTCATGTTTAGCACCTCGAGGGTCAACGCCAAAGCCTGCGTCAGACTAGTTGGATCTTTTCATTCTTCAATTCATTAAGACTTCTAATTCCATAAAGCTTTTATCTCTGCCCCCTTTCTACTAGTTTTTGCTCCATCAATAACAACAATGCTCGCCTCTACTTAGGACCCAATCCTTTGCACAAATAGGAATGGAGATTAGAAGAGAGTTCGGCAGGAAAGCGGCAAATCAAATGACCGACTGTACGCCTGTCACAACAAGAGATTGGGACTCTTCCTACTTTATTTTTTTTTTGCTTGGCAGTAAAGCACCAGGGCAAAGTCCTGCAAATTTATGAAATATTTAATATTTCAATCAATTAATATTTTTGAATAACTAATTTTAATAAAAGTATTTATTTATGACTTGATAGTTGATACTATGAATAATGAAAATAAAAATGAAATTATATTATATTATTAATAATTAATAATTAATAAATTTTAAAATTATTATAATGGTCAAATTTAAATTAATAATATATAACATAAAATATTATAATTTAATTCGGTCCTATACAATATTACAATACAATTTTAACGTATTCTCAAAAAAAAAAAAAATTCAGTATTATTATGTGCTAACTGCACCCTCAATGTATGTTTTATATAATCTTAGCTGATAATATATAATATGCATGATTGTAGCATAATAGTTTTTAAATTCATGCTTCTTCTCTATCTTATGTTCGAATCCAACACTAACATTGTCTTGAAAATTTTCATTGCACAAACCTATAAGATTAAGTTACCAATTTTACCCCTCTAACCCTATCGATATTGGACAAAGGGGCATGAATAATATAATTTCAAACTTTAAAGGTCTATTTGATAGAAATGCAAAAGTTATTATCCAAACAATTTTGGAAATCTTAAGGGTGGTTTGTGATATTTTTACTGGTCAAATTGTAAATTAATTTTATCTTATATATTTTTTTTAAAGAATTTTATTTGCTCAATGACCCAATCAACTGCTTGTTATCTTTTCTATATATACATATATATGTATACTACTCTTTCGAAAATGATATATTAACTAATACAATTTCAGGTGAGTTTTTAACTTTCTAACTTTGAATTGGGAGGTCTTGTATCACAACACTCCCACAAATTTGAAGGTTAGCTGAATTTTTGTTCCAACACAAGTGAAGAATCCTCTTTCCTTTCCGTGATCTTGTTCAACTATATTTATGATTATGAGGATGAAATATCACCTTCTCAAGTTTTTTTGAATTCCCTAACTCCCTAATGACAAATTTATTGAATTTTATTACCTCTCTTCATTTTTTATTTTACAGAGCGTTTCTAATATGGTGTTGGAACCTGGAAATATGAATATAACAATTGTTTTACTAAAACCCTCAGCCGTCTTCGTCCAGAGTGCTCTAAATTAATCAAATATTGCTCAAATTCTTGAGGATAACAAAACTATATATTCTTCTATCCGAAACATAAAGAGTATCCTGCATTTATTTATATTTCTAATTTACCACCAAGTTTATCCAGGGCTGCAACTGTTTCGAGCATCTTTCAGACCAAAGTTAACTCTGTTTGCTGGAATAAACCCTTTTGTTTAGATTATGCTACAAAAAAATTAATTGCGCAAAGTTTAGTACAGAGAATCCTCATTCTTCTACTGAGTTTTGGGTTTGAACACCAACCGCAATGCAGTGCACATAATCGTCCCTGCAACCAACAAAAACCCGGCCACCAATCATCACAGGTGAAGAAAAAATTTGTCCCTGTAGCTCCAGCATTGCAAATTCCTCCACCATCTCTCTAGATTCATTTTCCTTTCCTCTGGCATCTAAATTGATACAAAGGATATGTATAACTCCAGAACTGGAACATACACAAACCAACCTGCAAAATGTAGATGATCACTGAATTAAATATATATTACATCAGAATTCGGAATATGTTTTAGATGTAGTTCCTTTACCTGCCAGCCAAAGGGGAGGATTCAAATGTCAACTGCAAGTTCTCATCAACATAAGCAGATGCTGTTATTGGATCTTTAACACTAAATTCCCAAAGCAGATCTCCCTTTTCCTGAAGTAAATAACATACCAACTTAAGTTAGTTTTTTGAAGTAACATACTTGTTAATCATAATCATAATTACAATTACATACCGACCTTTGGATTACAGTTTCCAGGGAAAAAAGAAACAAAACCTCCGAACCTTTACAAACTCAGCCTTTCAACAAAATGACGAATAGCTTCTGCCCCAATAATAGATGTATAACTTGATATACTAAGACCATCTCCAACCCATTGCACCAAATTGGTGCAAGTTTCACACCAAATTGGTGCAAGCTTCACACCAAATTGGTGTGATTTTTAGTGTGAAACACTATTGCATCTCCAACCCATTGTACCAAATATTACACTGAAAGAAATATTCTTTAAAATATTCTCTTTCTGTTTCCTTTATTGTAATAACTAACAATTAATCTATTTCACTCATTATTTTTGTATATATTAATTAAAGATTGGGAATGATATTTTTACTAAATAATTATTACTTTGAAAATTATACTAATTTAATCAAATTAAGCATTTATTTAATCAAATAAACATTACATTTAATATAGAAAAACATTATTTTAGTTTGTGTCAACAACAAGATCAAGGATCTCAAAATAACTCTAGTTATTTCCAATATTTTGATTATCTTAAAAGATCCAGAACTAATCTACTGGAATATTAAATTGTTATTTTAGTTTACGTTGTATCTTCTTTTAATTTTAGTGTTTTTAAATTAGTGTTAATTTTTATTTTGAGTTATTATAGTTTAATATTTGCATTAAATAAAGTTTTGTTTTTAATTTTTTTTCATTTTTTGAATTATATCATTATTATGAATTTATTATTATAAATATTAATATAAATAATAATCAAATTAACTTAAATATAAATAACAAAAAAACAAAAAAAATTCATTGTATAAACAGTGCCACGCCAATTTGGTGTGGATGAGCAGTACTGCACCAAATTTGACGTGGCACTGTTCATCCGCACCAAATTAGTGCAGAAAATGGCGTTGCATTGGAGCACTTCTTTCACGCTATTTTGGTGTTTTTTACACCAAAATAGCGTGGGTTGGAGATGCTCTAAGAGTACACATAGAACAAAAGTGGCAACTTATGGTGCTTCTTGAAACCCAATGATAGATTTAAGAAACAAGAACTAATAGATGTAGTCTGTGATTCCTTTTGTAATAACAGTCAATTAATAGCCACACAGTGATTACGTTTGGTAAATTCCTAAACAGTAATACTAACCTCATTAATCCCTCTCACTAATCCCTCTTACTAACCCCATGTGGGAGTTTGTGACTGGCTTGGTTAGGTGGGACCTATTATTGGACAAGTGGAACCCATGTGAATTGACGAATTGTAACCTAACATGTGGCGTTAGTGAGAAGTGTTAGTAAGTGTAGTGTTACTCATTCCTAAACCCTTCTAGGAATTTAGGCATGGCAAAGACGCATAAATTGGTAACTCAAAAACCAGTATAGTAAATTACTAATTTTCCTTATTAAATATTTATTCTAATGACAAAGGAGGATTCGTGATGGAAGTGCCTTTTACTCAATGGAGGACCTAGTGTAAATAAATATTTGGCAAGAGCCTGGCAAAGCACAACGGAATATGAGGGATCCATAACCATGTTTAGATTCAAAGTCATGCGACTAAACTATGTTTATAGACTACCTGAGTCATAGTAGCTAAAAGTTGACCAGCTATACCAATGACTGAAATGGCTTATGTAGTTGCAATTTCGATCATAAATACTGTTGAAAAATAATAACGATGATGATGACCACTAAAAGCCTTTGGATTAATCCTTGTAAGTTTTTCAGATGTCTACTAATTGGAAACAATAAATTGGATTTTGTCATATTACAAGTACTTATCAAAAATAAGATAATCCAAATTCCTGTCTGAAGCAACGAGATATTATCAAAACTATTTCCTTGATTGAATTTAATCCAAATTCAGAGGAACAGATGCATGCCATGAGAACAGGTATACAACAAATAAAAGACTTGACAAAAGTATGAAGGATATTGAACATAATTAGACCATATTCCCATAAAACAAGTGGCCTAGAAGCAGAAATCAAACTCTTCTCCATGGTTCAAGAATCAATTGGAATTCTTAGAATACATAAGTAGGTCAATATAAGAAAAGTGAAATTATCAATTGTTATGCCACACAAAATAATCAAAGATGACAAAAGATGAAAGCATAAAACTACATACCGATTCAAAAGAGTATATACTTCCATTTCTGCAACATACCAGCACCTGAAGATATAGTAAGGAAGCAGACATTATTTCTAAAAAGCAAAATTCTAGTAATCCATGTTTCGTGAGTTAGGTATCACATGACATAAATATCTTGAGAAAAGATTCATAGAATATCATGGCACAATAGATTGTCATGATACTTGAGTCATTAAGAAGTTTTATTGAGTTGGAAAAAAAGGGTGTTAAGTCATCTTCTCAACAATTCCGCATTAAATCACAATTCCACATTAGTCATTCAGATTCAATGCTTTCAAAATGCATGTCTCCCATAAATGCATCATCAGCTTTAATGACAGAAATAATAATTGATACTCTCAGATCACATTTCCATTTCAAATGCCGACACAAGTTAATAGTTCATGGTAAAAATGAACATCTCCTATAAATGCATCATCAGCGTTAATGACAGAAATAATAATGGATACTTTCAGGGAATGATCATTAATCACATTCCCATTGCACATGTTAACACAAGTTAACAGTTCGATGGTAGAAAAGGTATTTTTCATTGAAGAACTTTAGGCTTTGTTACATAAGGTAAAATAATGAAGTGAAAAAGATACATCAACCTGATAAATAATAATAATTCCTATATTACACCTAAAGAAAATGCTTTACCTGAGAAGGAAGGGCAAAACTTGAGCAAGCCCCACCAAAAATCGGACCACCAGTCCTATACTGAAAGAGCAAAAACATTTATTTGAAGAAGTATCATAAATTTTAAAGAAAAACAAAGGAAAAGGATACGTATCTATAAATCCAATTTAACAAGGAAGCTTTGAAATACTTTTTATAGAGCAAAAAAGACTGGCACAAAAAAGGTGATTATATTCAAAGTGTTTTTCTTCATTTGCAAAGTTTGACGGAAATAGTACTTGGAAATTGAATTAATTTATGTCAAACATGAACTTGAGAATAAAAAGTTAGACATGAGGAGGAGCATATTTACAAATTGACATAGTTAACCTCTCTAGTATCAAATCCTTAGTAGTTAGCATCTCTCCAAATTAAAGTCAAATATAAAAAATAAATAAATAAATAAAGTATTCACTACAAACTTTCAAAATAACAAAAATAGACTGCAAACACATAAAAAGGTGGGGAACAAGAAATGAAGGGAGGGAGGGCAGAGGAATTTATTGTCATTGGCACTGCATGAAGCGTACAAAAAAATATCATCCATCAATTGAACAGAAAAATACTACACATCTAAACCAGTCAACATAATTCAAATTTTCAAAATGATTATTTAGCCCACCCAGAAGAGTGAGAAAGTACAAAGTATAATACTCCATCAATAACTTGTGATAAATTAGACTCATGTGCAAAATAATTTAATATTCTCATGGTAAGAGAGTAGGAAAATTATTGGCATAGAGATTGATCTTGAATTAGCTCTCATCATGATGACAAAAGAGAAAATACAATTTTTGTGGAGCAAAGTCACACAAACAAGAGACTATCAGTAAAAGGATGCATACCCTCCACATAACGGATCCAGTTGAATCAATTGCAACAATATGCCCATCCACCAAGCAACAAATAACTGCCACCAAAGCACATACATGATATCAAAAAAATTCTTTATTTTTTTATCAGAAAAAACAGATTTCACTAATAATGCAATGCTGATTTACGAAATGATTCTTCACACAGATACTGAAACAGTGACAAGGAGAGATACTCAAATGCAAACAAATACCGTATCTATTTGGAGAGGTGATAGTAAGAGAAGCAAATATTGGCACTTCTAGCTCATGCAGCCACAAAGTATGAAATGGTGAAGCCTACATTTGTCAGAAATAGCCCAAGTTAACATACAACCTTGACAAGCCTTTCGCATTATCGAATCCTTGAACAAGGAATTTTGGTGCATGAACTGTTAAATAATATTATCCAATTTTATACTCGTAAAACAATCAACATAAAATATAAATGATTACGTCACATGTGAAAGCAAAACAGTGCTACACAAAGCTTACATAAAATTTCCAAGAATGAATATACTAAAATTCATGCATTGCTAACTCAAAAACCAGTATAGTAAATTACTAATTTTCCTTATTAAATATTTATTCTAATGACAAAGGAGGATTCTTTAAGTGATGGAAGTGCCTTTTTACTCAATGGAGGACCTAGTGTAAATAAATATTTGGCAAGAGCCTGGCAAAGCACAACGGAATCTGAGGGATCCATAACTATGTTTAGATTCAAAGTCATGCGACTAAACTATGTTTATAGACTACCTGAGTCATAGTAGCTAAAAGTTGACCAGCTATGCCAATGACTGAAATGACTTATGTAGTTGCAATTTCGATCATAAATACTGTTGAAAAATAATAACGATGATGATGACCACTAAAAGCCTTTGGATTAATCCTTGTAAGTTTTTCAAATGTCTACTAATTGGAAACAATAAATTGGATTTTGTCATATTACAAGTACTTATCAAAAATAAGATAATCCAAATTCCTGTCTAAAGCAACGAGATATTATCAAAACTATTTCCTTGATAGAATTTAATCCAAATTCAGAGGAACAGATGCATGCCATGAGAACAGGTATACAACAAATAAAAGACTTGACAAAAGTATGAAGGATATTGAACATAATTAGACCATATTCCCATAAAACAAGTGGCCTAGAAGCAGAAATCAAACTCTTCTCCATGGTTCAAGAATCAATTGGAATTCTTAGAATACATAAGTAGGTCAATATAAGAAAAGTGAAATTATCAATTGTTATGCCACACAAAATAATCAAAGATGACAAAAGATGAAAGCATAAAACTACATACCGATTCAAAAGAGTATATACTTCCATTTCTGCAACATACCAGCACCTGAAGATATAGTAAGGAAGCAGACATTATTTCTAAAAAGCAAAATTCTAGTAATCCATGTTTCGTGAGTTAGGTATCACATGACATAAATATCTTGAGAAAAAATTCATAGAATATCATGGCACGATAGATTGTCATGATACTTGAGTCATTAAGAAGTTTTATTGCGTTGGAAAAAAAGGGTGTTAAGTCATCTTCTCAACAATTCCGCATTAGATCACAATTCCACAGTAGTCATTCAAATTCAATGCTTTCAAAATGCATGTCTCCCATAAATGCATCATCAGCTTTAATGACAGAAATAATAATTGATACTCTCAGATCACATTTCCATTTCAAATGCCGACACAAGTTAATAGTTCATGGTAAAAATGAACATCTCCTATAAATGCATCATCAGCGTTAATGACAGAAATAATAATGGATACTTTCAGGGAATGATCATTAATCACATTCCCATTGCACATGTTAACACAAGTTAACAGTTCGATGGTAGAAAAGGTATTTTTCATTGAAGAACTTTAGGCTTTGTTACATAAGGTAAAATAATGAAGTGAAAAAGATACATCAACCTGATAAATAATAATAATTCCTATATTACACCTAAAGAAAATGCTTTACCTGAGAAGGAAGGGCAAAACTTGAGCAAGCCCCACCAAAAATCGGACCACCAGTCCTATACTGAAAGAGCAAAAACATTTATTTGAAGAAGTATCATAAATTTTAAAGAAAAACAAAGGAAAAGGAAACGTATCTATAAATCCAATTTAACAAGGAAGCTTTGAAATACTTTTTATAGAGCAAAAAAGACTGGCACAAAAAAGGTGATTATATTCAAAGTGTTTTTCTTCATTTGCAAAGTTTGACGGAAATAGTACTTGGAAATTGAATTAATTTATGTCAAACATGAACTTGAGAATAAAAAGTTAGACATGAGGAGGAGCATATTTACAAATTGACATAGTTAACCTCTCTAGTATCAAATCCTTAGTACTTAGCATCTCTCCAAATTAAAGTCAAATATAAAAAATAAAAAAATAAATAAAGTATTCACTACAAACTTTCAAAATAACAAAAATAGACTGCAAACACATAAAAAGGTGGGGAACAAGAAATGAAGGGAGGGAGGGCGGAGGAATTTATTGTCATTGGCACTGCATGAAGCGTACAAAAAAATATCATCCGTCAATTGAACAGAAAAATACTACACATCTAAACCAGTCAACATAATTCAAATTTTCAAAATGATTATTTAGCCCACCCAGAAGAGTGAGAAAGTACAAAGTATAATACTCCATCAATAACTTGTGATAAATTAGACTCATGTGCAAAATAATTTAATATTCTCATGGTAAGAGAGTAGGAAAATTATTGGCACAGAGATTGATCTTGAATTAGCTCTAATCATGACGACGAAAGAGAAAATACAATTTTTGTGAAGCAAAGTCACACAAACAAGAGACTATCAGTAAAAGGATGCATACCCTCCACATAACGGATCCAGTTGAATCAATTGCAACAATATGCCCATCCACCAAGCAACAAATAACTGCCACCAAAGCACATACACGATATCAAAAAAATTCTTTATTTTTTTATCAGAAAAAACAGATTTCACTAATAATGCAATGCTGATTTACGAAATGATTCTTCACACAGATACTGAAACAGTGACAAGGAGAGATACTCAAATGCAAACAAATACCGTATCTATTTGGAGAGGTGATAGTAAGAGAAGCAAATATTGGCACTTCTAGCTCATGCAGCCACAAAGTATGAAATGGTGAAGCCTACATTTGTCAGAAATAGCCCAAGTTAACATACAACCTTGACAAGCCTTTCGCATTATCGAATCCTTGAACAAGGAATTTTGGTGCATGAACTGTTAAATAATATTATCCAATTTTATACTCGTAAAACAATCAACATAAAATATAAATGATTACGTCACATGTGAAAGCAAAACAGTGCTACACAAAGCTTACATAAAATTTCCAAGAATGAATATACTAAAATTCATGCATTGCTTGCATACAAAAAACTTTTGGTATACAACCATCATATTGCATTACACTGAAATCATACATCAGCAAATCTTCGTGATATCACATTAATTCTGGTTTCAGCTATCCCCATATGATACATTCAATTGAGTGCACAGATTGGCAAGTAGGAAAGCAGACCACAAGGCAAATAATAGGGATTCTCATGCTACAAGCAAAAAAAAAAAAAAAAAAAGTTTATGAATACATTCTCTCTCACATTAACTCCTGAACACGCTGGTCTGTTTCTTTTATGTTCCTTCTGTCTTATTCAAGGTTGAATTATCTTGTTCACTTTGTAATTCCACAAAAATTTAATATGTTCTAATTTGTTTCAGTTTTTCTATCGAGTTGGTGAGGCAACGGAAACGTTAATTGTGATGGCAGCAATAGGGCTGAAGGTATTGTGTAAAAGAATCAAGGAAAATTGATTTATTTGAAAAAAAATGAGGTCAACATAGTTTTGACAAGTTTACTCTCCATTCACATTTGACCACACATTTAACTTTCGTTCAATTTTGCTCTATCTTCAACCTCTGAAACTCATTCTGTCTTCAAAATATCCTCTTGTTCCCTAACTCTTCACTCTACTATTTTCACACTATTCTCAGCAAGCTGCATAGCATAAAACTAGTTGAAATTGTCAAATATATGTCCAATCTATACGAGTTTGTTTGATATAGATCTAAACATTTTGTTTTGCGAGACAAAAGATACAAGAAATTGTATTTAAAGTGTTTGGAAATGGGGCTGAATTGTTTTCAAAAAAAGTTTTGGATATGATCCTACAAACTAGTCTAAAATCAAATAACAAAAATAGAAAAAATTGTATTCTTATAGCTTTTAACTCTTCTTAGGATGCTCTTAACTTTGAAAGCAGTTTAACTCTATAAATATTATATCAACCGTTTTTTTTAAAACTAGAAATACTTAGATATAACTCCAAATTTTGAATTATATATTGATTTTGAACATTATTTTTGCATCATAAACCAAATGGACACTAAGCACTACATCTCTTAGAAGGCTTTTCCTTTATTTTCAATATCAATTATGTAAGTTCATATGTTTTGCATGAGTTTAAAACATAAATAGATGTTATTTAGACTAACATAGTGTTTAGGTTGACTTACATGATCCTTTTTTAAAAAAGAAAATGAGTTTGAATGATAGAATTATGAAACTTAGATGAAATGCCCATTTTCTGAAAAATGATGAATCAGATTAAGCACTGGTATTTGGAAACTTGAGCCCTCGAGTGTCATACGTTGACTCAAGTTAGGTGTATATGATTTAATGAGATATATTAAATACTATTTGACATTATGTTGGGTAACAATAACTAATAATAAATGTTAGGGGCCTTATTGATAGTTAACAAATTTATATGTAAATCAGCATCCTTTAGTTAGTGTAACACTCAACAGAATTTTATCAAGAGCTATTAATAGGACTGCTAATATCAATTGTTAACCTACAAATATAAATAAGTCCCTCTTGTTTCTCATTGATATCACATATTTATACCCAATTCAAGCAAGGGTATGAAAAAAACTCGAGCCCTCAAGTGTAATTCATTGATTCAAGTTGGGTATCTATGATATTAATGAGAAATATTAAATACTTATGAGACATTATGTAGGGTTAAAATTAAACTAATAATAAATGTTAGGAATTTTATTGTTATTTAACAAATTCATATGTAAATTGGCATCTTTTAGTTGATGTAAATAAGTCCCTCTTATTTCTCATTAATATCACATATATACACCCAACTCAAGCAAGAGTATGAAAAACTCACCCACTTGAGTTTCCTCATATTTGTATTCAATTTTATACTTCATTTTCCAGAAAACAGGCATTTCAACTCAATTTTATTGGAGTCCAATTTCTTGAAACAATCCAAATTTCTTGAAGACAATCTATCTTCTAGAAACTAAAGACAATTAATTAAAATTCTCTTTTACCTTCACTGATATTGCAGTCACACGACCACTGGTAGATGAAACATAAAGTGTCTCATGGACCTGCGTAAAATATAAATAACATACTAAATTAAGTTATCAGCCTGAAATGTTCCATTTACTGAATCTTTTTTTTTTTTTTTGAACTGCAATAGAAGCATGAATAATATTCAGGTAAAAAAATCAAATAATAACAAATATTTGAATGGTCATATCATCTAAAACTCAATGTTGGTCCCAAAAAGGGAAAACAAGGTATAAGTAAATAATTTGATCCACAAGAGGGAAAGTTCAGCAAAATGCAAAAACCAGGTAAATGGAACATAATCATTTCAACTTTTATGATTCAGATCCAATAGCCAGGTAATAATTCTTTTCAGAAGAAGGAAATAGTTGATTAAAAGAAAGCTGATTCTGATGATACATAATGATTTTACATTTCTTCATGAAAAAGGGCAGAAATAAATACTAGTGATACAGGCAATTCAAAGCAAAATGCTCAGATGAATCAAGCATGTTTTTCCTATTGTTTGAAGCAAAAGAATAAAATAAAATAATTGGTCAGCTCAACCAATAACTGAATGAAAAGTTATACCTCATCAATTGCGGGAGACCCAAATATACTCCCACCGCATTGAAGCTTATAAACACAGCAATGGTTTCTATAGTGTAAAGCATATAGGTTACGGTCATGTGATCCACACCTGTGTTGACCAAAAAGGTTAAGTCAAGTTAGTAAGCTTCTGTGCTTCCGGCTACGAGTTATACCTGCACATGATTAGGCATGCTGCAAATCCTACCAGGGGATAAACTAATACAATGTCAACACTGATGACCCTGCTATTCCAATGCACACAGAAAAGTAAAGAATCTCATATAGTTTATAAGTGAAGATGGCTTGAAATAATACCAAAAGGAAGCTGAATAAATAGCTGAAAGAAGAGTCTCAGAAAAAAAAAAAAAAAATTAGGAAAATATAATGTGGGATAAATAGAAAATCAAAGAGCGTTATATTAAATATTCTAGTATGCCTTATATCTTCTTTCAGTTATGCAAGGTATTACCATGCAAGCCAGAAGCATTCCTATAAGGCTTAATGTTTATAGAGTGAGGATCAGAAGTGAGTATGGAGAAGTATCAAAACTTGCTGGCAAGATTATCTATCCCTACGCAATAACCTACACTGGATAGAAAGAGTACTCAACTTTGTCCATCAACCTCATCTTACCATTGCAAGACTGTTTTTTGTATCTTCATAAAAGAATTCTACCACAGAAACAGAAATTTCAATTGTGGAAACATAGATTTGAATTTTGATGATAGGAATTCCACCTTAAACTAGGGTGCCTCTGTTGGTTATGATAAAATAAACCAGAAAGTAAGACACTTTATTGCTAGACCAGAGTAGGTGCCCTATTTAGGCCATGAATCATGTAGTGGTGAGATCTTTTCTCAAACATCATGATTAATTCTTAAATGAAATAGAAGAGAGCTTTATTCCTGCAAGAATTTACACAATTGAATTTTAAAATTCAACTGGTTAAAGCCACAACTGAAAATTTGACAGCTTTAATCTCAACCAAAGGTAAACAAACAGGAATCAGATATGAGCATAACTAGTTCACTGTTCCGAGTCCAAAATAAGATAATTAAAAGCAGTAGAAAGATTACCAGATCAATTGTCTTGGTAAATCAACAACCGGCTGACACTTCACCTTCAAATGTTGAAAAAGTAATCAATATTAACAGTAGCAGCAATTCAAGTGATTAACATTTTGTAACGTTAATTCAATAAAGCAATAAATTGCTAGAGAGTTGAAGAAAGTAGAAAAATATTGCAGTTTCAAACATGTTTTTGAATCACAGAAACTGTCATTTTAATTTGAGTAGTTCTTAGCCCACCACAAATTTAATACACATGCTGCAGGTTGCTACAATCTGCAGATTTCATAAGACAGCATATGACTTGAATATGGTCTGCTTATTGTTTCATGCAAAGCCACATATCAAATAACTAAAAAGTACAAAATTTACAAAAAGGAGTTTGTAATAGATAGTTCTAACTTAATGCCAGCTTATATTACAAAACCAACCTGTTTTATCCAGTACTACTGCTACATATCCCAAGTTTGTATCCCAATATTCGCACCCAAGTGATGTGGCATTAATTCAGAGTAACACTTGATATACCACATAATCTACACATGGAACATCACTTGAAATGAAAAAGTTGGGATACAAACTTAGAATGTATAGTATTATTGTGATTTTTTTTTTTTTTTTTTTTTTTGTGCACTAATTGGTGTTGAAGCAAAGAAGACATTAGTTCATGGTATTAATCATGCTAGCCACCATATGGGCCTCACTTAGCTATCTGTAAGCTTGATAGACAAACCAACCCAAAATCTTAAATTCTAGACGCACTGCCCAAAAAGTATATGAAGTAATATCAAATTCATAATCTTAATCAATGTGGGTCAGGATACAGCCCTTCATACATGTAAGACTAACAACAGTATAGGCCTAACATCTGAGTCTGAGAATATCTATTACTATTATTTTATTTTATGATTTTGCTGGGACTGAATCTAAGGATATTAAAAAGATGGATCGACAAAACAAACCTAACATAAAAAATAAATAACCCAAAGAAAATTTTTAGTTCAATTTTTATCGTGAGAAACTTCAGATCTACTGTTTTTATGGGTGAACTGACTCAGTTCAGTTCAATTTATGCTTCAGCAATTATTGAACCATTCAAACCAAGCTGAATAGCTTTATTTAAAAAATAAAAAATAAAAAAAATGAGAGAACTAGAAGGACATAGCATCACTTTGTAGCTTTGTATTATCATAGTATTACCCGCATATTTTTTTTTTTATGACCGGGAGTGTCTGAGTCAGTTTATGTGAACCTCAACTAATTCTCGGGATCCTGGAACTACCGGCCGGATAAGAGCTACAATGGCTACCTCTATTAGCAACCGAGGAGGAACTTGAACTCAAGACCTCTTGAGTAATACACCCAAGAATCCCTATCGAACCACTCGACCACCCAGAGGTAGTTTATTACCCACATATTGTCAAAGGTATAAAGGAGGATTATTACTTGGTCTCAGTTGTCATATATACTGTCATATAAAGAGCACACGTTCTAAAACTAATTAAAAAAGACCACTTAACTGACCTAGTCTGTCAAAGTTTAGAATGTTCGAGGTTATTTTTGTGACTTCACTTACAATTGATGAAGTCAAATAATTGAATTTGTAAGACCAATGACACAACAACAGATAGGATAGAAAAATAAAATTACTTTAGCATGAGTAACAAATGAAAAACAGACATGGAGGGAGGACGAAAAACCTAAAGTTTAAAGATAATCCTTCGAAGTGCAAAGGAAATGAACCTCATCGACATTAGGTGATCTGGTTCAGTTACAACACTTTTTGATATTAAAATGGTTCCAAGTTATAACATTCTTTGATGTAAAAATGTTTCCAAGTTATAGAATCTCTTCAATACTGAAAAGCCAAACCAAACCGAAGTTAGGCGGTTTGGTGCAGTTCAGTTTTGAAGGCCAAATTTGTTATCAGTTCTTCCCGAAAACCGAACCAGTTTCATCCACCCTGACTAATATTTGATCTACAAAGGGTTTGTTAACACACTCATCAGCCATAGCTTGGCTAACCCAATATCAACAGTAAAACAAACATGCAACAGTCTTGTTAATATACTCAAAATTACCATGGGACTGGAATACCAAGGCCTTTTGCCACAATCTCTCAAATTGCCTCAGGTGGGCACGGATGCACCATAGAGAGAGAGAGAGAGAGAGAGAAAGAGCCAGGAATTTTAAACAACTATGAACTAGGTAGATGTACATATACAAAGAGTACCATAGTTCCCTCATCATAGAGCTAAATGTGTTCCAATGATTGAAGCATACAAGGGTTTTAGACCTGTAAATTCAAAAACATAGTCACATAAAGAAGTTTGGAGAAATATTACAAGCTCAGATCTTTGGAAGAATTAGACGGTCAAAAGAAAGTTGAAAAAGATTCTACAGAGCATTGAGTATCAGATAAACGAATCCCTATACTGATAATTCAACAAAACGTATCCATAAACAGGTCAAATTATTCATTGTTCAACAAGTCCCATTATCAGTTAAAGTTTCTGGAAGCTAGTATTTGATCACGAAAGCAGAAGCTATTTTTACCCAATTTCCATAATTGGTATGCTCTAATATATGATGAAATTATCCCTGTCATATCCTACACTTTGTACGAAAAGAAAGAAAAGCATTTCTTTTCTAAAAACCAAAAAAAAAAAAAAAACAAAAAAACAAAAGAGAACGAACAAGCAGCTCTATAACTGTCCTGTATTACCATCTGAAAAAACTGTAAAGATTTCCCAAAAACACCACAAAGATACAAAGCAACTCACATTTGAAAGAAAAAATAAAATAATCCCATATGAATGCACATTGACCTCTTAAATAAGAAATTAAAGCAATATGAAATAACTTTTGCATATCATACCTCACCACAAGTTTGGAAAGTCCAACATATATGGCCGTTTGATAAATCCATAAAATATATTTTTCCTTTGTAGCATCCAACAACAACCTAGTACCACCACATATGAAAAATATTAACAGCCCTTGTAATGCCTGGCAAAAAATGGGAACAACATGACAAAGCACACACAATAATTTGAACAACCTGAGAAAAGTCACCAACAATTGCTGCCGGACATTCAACTCGACCTTCTAGTTTGATTTCCCATTGGACAGAACCACTAATCCAGATATGTGATAATACAATACTCAAGTTAGAAGATGAAGATCATGCTCAAATGCTTGAAACATACCATGCCTGATGCCTTGTTAGAAATAAATTAGTTTCCTTAACTGAAACATGAATGAAAATCTCTTGCCCACCTTAATCTAAATGAATATTAATCCTTCCCTTTTTTCATGATGAAAACTTTGATAACCAGTATCAATGTAAAACTTGCAAGCTTGTATAAATGTCAGACAAGCAACCTCAGGCATATTATACATAACCAATTATGTTTACGGCAATCTACAAAAAGTATATACACAGGATACTGTGGATGTCATATCAAACACAAATCTAAGCTTGGCCCTCTACTTATGAAAGCATACAAAATAAACACAGAAGAAAATTTATATCTTAAAAGATTTCAAGAATAAAGTAGAAACAACAAACTGACACTTTGTATGACCATTTGACACATTATCCTGTATAGATATGGTATAGGTTGAACCAAATTCTCGACAAAGTCCATATGGCGAAAAATTCTGAAGCAGAAAGCAATTTCAAGTGTCTATGATAGAGGTGATAATAAGTGGAAATTGCGAACCAATGAAACACTTACATTGGGACATCATGGGTTGATCATATTCAATTTTGAGTACATAGATGTTAACATAATTTTGCTATCAACCTTTTCCCATAACTTGTTAGATTAAAAATAATTAACAGTCTAGGGTTTTTATTTCAAGTATTTAAACAACTGGTTTGAGTTTTGTCAAATATTCGACCCAGTTACAAGTGTTTATATGTAAAAATATTAGCTTTCATAATTTTTGTAACAGAATTAATACATATGTTTAGATGTTATCCAGTAAAAACAAACATATCATTCAAATTTATACATTAAAAGATATTCTAACTACAGTCAAATCCTAAACTATTCATTTCAGACAAAAGAATATACACTACCTTAGATTTTTAAGTTTACATCAACCATATACATCAATAATTATAAGAAACGGAGAGAGCGAATCCAGAATAACTATCATTGACAGAGCAATCAAATCATGATTCAACCACCACAACTACGCATGACAGAGAAATGAAGAATTATATCTATTATAATAGTAATTATAGCAATAAAAATGCATCTTTTAGAAGTATATAAACTACATAATTTGATTTGCAAAGGCTACAGAATGGCGCTTACCTTTTAGCATTAATACAAAGAAATTTGTGTGAGTGGGACCCAACAAAGAGATAAATATCTGAATCTTTAAGGACAACAACTGGAGATGCATCAACACAAGACTCCAAGTGAACTTTCCACAATTCTTGCATATAAACTTTTCTCTCTCTTGGAACTTCAACTGAACAGGTTACTTGACAAGTATGATTACCCCTATACTTCTCGTCATACATAACCTTGTTGCAACGACTGAATGAACATGGCACGGGTGGTGATGGCGCATTCCATGAAAACCCATCCTTTTGACCAGTAAACTTTGGAGTGACATCTTTATTTGAATCCACTTTCAAATGTTTTAAGGGTATAACTTTTACATCTTCATTATATGAAGCCGTCAACAACCCTCGTGTAAGTATATCATCATTTGAGTAATAAAATGAATGAAATGCATTCCCCACATCAGCTTCTTGATCCACCTTGCAATTAGCATCTGCTCTAACATCTACATTAAATGACCCCCTTTTCTCAAGAAGAGCAATATGAAGCTTGGATGGAGTTGGAAAGGTGTAAACCATCCTCATATTTATCCCTAAACTATGAGCAACATGTGCTGCAGCAACGGAATCACCACCCACAATAAAAAAATTATCACTGTTGGAAACCTCTTCGATCATCAAAGCATCAGCAAAGGCCTTTCAGAAAAAATTCTAAATGAGTTAGTTTCACTTCTGTGACGATACAACGCAGATAACATGGGTTTGATCATAAATAAAGGTGGGGGAAGGGAAAAAAAAAATTAGCACTATAGACAGCAAACCTTTTTGATAACTTTCAAAAGGTCATCAGTCTTGGTCTCACTGATGATATCATGAGCAGACCCAGTGACATTTATACTCGCTAACGATGCATAATCAACTTTTCCATTAGAAGACATAGGCAATGACTCCATAATGACGAAGCGGCTAGGAATCATTGCTAAAGGAAGTCTGTTGATCATCCAACTTTTTATAGATTCTATACATATTTCCCCAGATTTATCCTTCTCTTGTAACAATATAAATGCTTGAAGGAGTGCAGGCTCCCCCTGAACATTGTGAGATATCACAGCAGCATCAACTACGTCTGGATGTTCCCTTAGTGTATATTCAATCTCCTCTAAAGCCATACGTTGCCCATTAACCTTTACAGTACGATCTTTTCTACCCAAGAAAACCAGGTCACCACTTTGAAGTCTTTTAGCAAAATCACCAGTTCTGAAGTACAGTGGGCTTCCATAGTTGACAGAATAGTTACAAATCGATTTCTTATGTAGCTTGACAAACTCTGAAGACATAGAAGTTGATTCAGACAAGTATCCGCTAGAAACGCAGAGACCACCAACATATATTTCTCCCTGATTAGGTGTATCAGTATCACTTTCAACAAGCACTACGTTGCAATTTGAAATAGGGATACCAATTGGTACACTTGTAAGTGTCTCTGTCTCCAAAATCGTTGGCAAATTCTTGCAATCAAAATATGTGCAGTCTCCAGATACCTAAATAAAGCTAAATCATGTTAACTAAACAATAAAAGCTAAATTACAATATGTGCAACCACAGAAGCACATGGTTGCAACATCTTTCTCAAGACCTTAGTTGAAACAACCAGTATTCGCATTAAGAACTCATATGAAACAAACAAAATAAAAGAAAAAGAAGAAAGCAACAAATAAGAAGAATTGCACTATATTTGATACAAGAAGAATTATGGTATCCATACAAGGACTGAATGCACAATCATATAATAAATGATAAATGAATAAGATAGATGTGATTATGATTCAAGAATACTGAAATCGTTATTAGACTTTCAGATCAAAAAACATTTACTCAATAAGTTTTCTTGGAACTCTAAAATCAGATTACCAATAACTAACCTCTGTACTCCCATATAAATTCAGGATAGAGAGATTCGGAAGTAACTTGGAAAGCATATTCCACAAGGATAAAGGTAGAACTTCACCACTGAGCACTAACAATTTTAATGAATGTAGAATCAAGTTATGTTGAATTTGCAAAGAAGGAAGTATTGCCCTTAGCAGTGACGGAACAGTGGTAAGCCTACAAATAGAATAAGCCTACAAAAGTAGACTCAATAATAAACATTAGCAATAGAATCAAAACATCAATAGAAGAATCTGTCACTAGAAAGTAATATAGGAGCAATTGCATTCTTGCATACAAAAGCAAACAACAAAAGATTAACACTCATATGGATAAACTATTATCACAGTCAAGTTACTACATGCAAACTTATCTTTTCATACAATAAATATCTTATTTCGAAATTTTAAGACTTCCACCTTCACACAAAATTTCTAATTTGAGGTGCATGTACAATCTAGCTACAATAGTTGTTGTATTTATGCTAAAAGATGGCATCCCAACTTTGAATACATAACACTACCATAAATAACATAGGACAAAGAACAAAAGTGCATTAAGTGTACCTGTAAATAATGGATGATAGAAAACAAATTCGTTTTGAGCTCCATAGTGGGAGGTATAACAAGAGAACAAGCGGTAAGAATAGCACTAAGAAATTCTTGTAAGTGATCAACAAAGCTAATTGACGTCTTGAACAATAAAACTTCCTCTCCATTCAGGGGATACAAATCTTGCATCCATAAAAACCTGTTTAAAAGACCTTAAAAACACAAATAAAAGAGATAGCATCATCAAATAACGGAAGAAAAATAAAATTTGAGTGGTGCTGCATGTACAAACTTAGTATACAAACTGATGCAGCATACCTCATTGATGGCTACATCATTCATCAATGTTTCTTGAGTTTTTACATGCATTCATTTATTCACTTTACAACTTATCAGTTTGTATAGATTAGTTTGTACAAAGAGTTTGTATACGTAGTATTATTCATAAAATTATCAATAACTCTAACCGTTTACCTTGCTCAGTGCCACATACGCCTTTAGGCGTTCCCGTGGAACCTGAGGTGTACATCAAATAACAGAACAATCTCTGCCTCTGGCTTTGACAATGCCAAACATAATTTAATTCCGATGGCCCAATTGTCTCTGAAACACTCTGTTCCATGGAAAAACACAACACAGGACAAATCCCACATTTTACAAGCCAATGTGATTCATGAAGCAGCTCACCAAACGAAGACCCACATGCAATAACAAGACGAACATTGGAAGAGGAAATAATTGACATTATTCTATGTCGTGGCCATGAATGATCCAGAGGCAAAAAAGCCTCCCCAATTCTCAAAATCGAAAGAACAGAAATTATGTACTCCACCGATGGTGTCATATATAACCCAATAATTTTTGGCGTATACAGCATATCATTCTTCATCAACTCAGCCTCTAAATTATTACCTGCAAATTTAGCCAAGATAATCAATTAGAATCAAAAAGAAAAAATAACAGTCGCAAAGCAATGTGATAATTTAAGAAAATAACCATCAAGAATGCGACGAAGGCGAGAGCTCAAGGAATCAATCGACGCCAACAACTGACCAAAAGTGAAAAAAGGGTCTCCTTCGTAAGGATGATGTTTGGTTTTTATCAATTTTTTCCCGGAAGAAGATGCGTGAATCACAGCAATTTTATTGGGGTTTTCTTTTGCTGCTCTCAGAAACTCGTGTGATACGCAGCAGTGGGGCTGATTATCGGTCATTTCAACTCAGTTTTTATCATGAAAACCGTAATAAGAAACTGCTATTTAACAACAAACTCGAATGTAATGGGCAATGCTAGCAATATGTTTCTTACCAAATCAGTTACTAGCCGATTAAAATCTTGTGAGAAATTAGGAGAAATTATCGTGTCCTCTCATAATAGAAATCTTGATTAAGATGAAAATATCTATCCAAGAATAAGATCAACTTAATTATATGATATAAAAATCATATCCCTCACATAATAGAAATTTTGGGATATTAAAATTTATATTAAAGAATTTAGTTATCCCATAATGAGAGACTTGGATTTGATTATTTTAATTGGCGAGATTTAGGTTTAACCTTAGTTAACTTTTTAACATGCCATGTTTAACTAACATTGCATACATGTCACATATATACATAAATTAAAGCATGTGGGTTAACCATTAGGCTTTTCGAAAACACATCTTAAAGGTAAATTATTTACCCTAATCCTATATCTTCGATCGGATTGTCATCCGGATGCTCTTCGGGTTCCCGTCTAGCCGATTTAATTACAAATTGGATCTTAGGCACATAGGCCTAATTAAAATAAATAAATAAAAATTAATTATTACAAGCCATTTAATAAAAGAATATTACAAACCCTTTTGAATATTTTGAAAACTAAATGACACCCATGATCAACCCTCTAATCTAATATTCATCCATCACATAAATAAATATTAAACCATTCATACCAAATATAATAAACAATTATTTAAAGGCATTAATATAAACAATTTAAAATATACATATATATATACTCATATATAAATATATCTCATGTATATATAGATATTATATATATGCATGTGGTAACTTTATCATAACTTTAGGGCATGCAACAATTACACATTTCAAAGGAATCATTACACAAACACTTTAGTCATATTCTACCCAAAGATATAATAATGATTTTTGTTATGTAATCATTAACATCATTTCAAGACTTTTCAAAAAAATCATACATGACATAGATAAATGAGTTTTATTACTTTAAGAGTAATAATTTTTATGACACATTTATCCTTTAAAAAACAATCATGTCATCTTGCATCATCAATTTTTGAATCTATTCAAAAAAAATTATTACATTTAAAAAATATAATAATTTATGCCATGCAATGATGCATTATATGATAATTAAATTAAATTAAATATCATGCATAAAATTACCATGACCATGCATACATAACATCATAATTCATCACATGAATTAATAATCCATAATTTCATGCCATCTTTAATCAAATTAAATTAAAGTAACATTTGCACACTCTTCATACAATATTCTCCTTAATAAATTAAAGTATAAAATTTTTAGCATGTTAAAGCATAAACTATTTAATTAAAGTCATGGAAATGAACATGCATGATTTTTTCTTAACCAAATCTTGTGAGCATACATTATGCAACATTTCCCAAAACATTATTCATCATAGCATGAGTGAGATGACAAGTTTTATGACAAAAAATTAGTCATGACCCAACATGACAAAGGAAAAAGCCATAACACACACATGCATGTAGTTCTCAATATATCTCATACAATAACCATCATCCAAGCATACATTTAGACACTTTATGAAACAACTTCCAAAACACATTACAAACTCATTTGAATAAAACAAGAATCAAATGACCAAAAATATGCATGGCCTAATTTAGCAAGAAAAAAAATTGCAAAAACAATTCTATGCACTAATCAAGGCATGCATGAACACTTTTGTCACCATATATAGTATATATATAAATTAAACATATAATGATTATTGCATGCTTCAAATTACAAAATCAAAAACATCTTTATACATTTTATGCCATGGCCGAATCTTATTCCAAGGAAAAACAATAAACATTTTATTATCTTATTATTAGGCCAAAACAAGAACATGCATGTCACTTTCATACATGATGAACAAAAGAACACTTGGGAAATGTCATTTTTGCTTATAAATTGGACATGCAAGGAGCTTTTGGCTCTGATACCATTTGAAAAACCCATGAAGAGATGGTGGAAAAATGATGGAAAGCATGTAAACAAGACATGCCAGCTAAGATATGAATTAAAGGATTAAAAAAAACTTTAAATAAAACACAAATGAATATTATACCTTCTCCTAGAGCTTAGGTTTGATGGAGCCAAGATTCAAAGCTATGAACCATCCACACTTTAACACCACCTTGAGAGAAAGAGAGGGTGGCTGAAGCTAAGAGAGAACTTGTGTTTTTCTTTTGAGTGAACAATGAACAATTGACTTAAAATGCAACCATTTGCATTTATATATACATGGGTTATTTTGTAATTACTTCTTTTTCACTTGCATGCCCTAATAAAACCTTATTCTAAAAAGAGCCCAAGCATTTATTAATTTGGCCTTTGAATAATCAATATTATTCAAGGGCCCATGTAAACTGCACTAGCTTACGTTAACAACCGGTAAGTTTACCCATTTACCCTTTTACTATTAAAAGGTTATTTTAGTTCATCTCATTTATCTTAACGCTTTAAGATATAATAATTAAATACAATTAGTTATTGCTTGACCATTTTAACTTTTAAAATGTCACGAATAATTTTGTATGTAACAATTACCATAGAATTCTTGTCATTACCCTCCAAAGGTGCTAGCCCTCTTCGGATAATCATTTCTCTCTCTTATCATTCTCTAACTTCTCAAGGCTATTGGTGTGACCATCTAGGTCCACCGTGGATTAGCAGTGAGCCGGTTCCGGATGAATCCGGAAACCTGTCCATAGGCCCAACGACTATGGTAAACATCTAGCAATGTGTCATAGTCCCTAAACCACGCCCAACGACTATGGTAAACATCTAGCAATGTGTCATAGTCCACAAACCACGATCAAGAAATACCTTATCGAACCCTTTTCAGATCATATGTACCATGCAGGTAAAGTCCTTCAATTAATATATCCTGATCGAGTACGGATTCATGGAACGTCAAAATCCTAAACTCGATCTTCAATCGAATTATTAATCAATATGTTTAGAACTTGTTGTCACGAACTTACTTTTGTGTGACTAATAATATACTCTGGCTAGAGATTTTGGTTTCCAACAACATGACTAGTCGCATACTTATACACCATATGAACCATACATCCGTATCAAATTCGATCACGATGTTTCAAGTCAAAGGACTACATCGTACACTGATATAACCAAACGATAAATCATTAGCTACATGATTTTTCAAGTGATTCGTCGTTATTCGGTCATGTTCAAAAAATAGTTCACCAACCCCTAATCCATACTAATGCCCTAGTGACATGACTATCATCATTATCCGTACTTATATCAACTCATGATATCTTTTGGAAGCATCTAGTATGCCTACTATGCAATATAGTTGCCCAAATAATATTACTTCCATAGGGAACCTTTTGATAAATTCATTTACTGATTAAATAAATCATCTAGACAATTCATATACATACTTTATTTTAAATGCATGACTGTATAAAGGAAGCAATATATATATATATATTGAAGAACTCTTTCTTCTATTATTTATGATATATTGATACAAAACAAAATACTCTGAAACCTACAACACGAATGGTTTTCTAGGGTATGCACTAACATACCCTTTGAAAGAAAGTTACGAGTTGACTCACAGAATCACCCGAAATTTGTGGGTGAGAAATAAAGAAAAAAAGAAGGAAAGAGTTTTGTCGCTCTTGAAGCAGGTGCATTTGGCCAAAAGACAGTATTTTACATTTTCATTTGATTATTAGTAATTTGATTTAATTATTATAATTTCTTTATTATTTTAATCCAAAACACCGCTAGGAAGAGTTAATGCATTTACACTTAGGGGTGTATACGAGCCGAGCTAAGCTGAGCCGAGTTGAGTATCTATCGGCTCATGAGCTACAATGGCGAGCTCGAGTTCAAGCTTGAAAACTCAAGCTTGAGCTTGAGTTTGACAGCCAAAATGGATGCTCGAGCTTGGGAGCTACTCGAGTATCTGATACATGTTGCAATTATGAAGCTGTAATCAAGCTATAATTCAACACAATCTTGCACTACATTACTTACACCAAGAATCTCTCCAAAACAACAATGAACTGACAACCAAGAAGAAGTAGAAGCAACCCACTACTTCTAATTTAAAATCATATTAATTGAGAAATTAGTCAATGGCAGCTGTTTATTGTCTCTCTTAATTAACCATCACACGTCTATTACCTATTTTATGTACACTACATAATTCATCACCTCATTAATGTAATCATATTAATTACTTTAACCCTTCAATAATCTCATCTCATCATCCATGGTAATTACCCAAGAATTCAAATTGTTATGGTGCCTTCTATAGCAAAGCAAGTAATAAGTAGTGCTTGTTTATTAGTCACTCAACATAATTCATCACCTCCATTTCTTGGACGCATTATGAAATATGAATTACATTTGTTACAATTGCAATTCTAATATCTAATACTTATTGCAATTCTGAAGCTACAATCAAGCTATAATTCAACACAATCTTGCATTACATTTCTTACACCAAGTTTTCAGTGGCTTAACATAGCCAAGAATCTCTCCAAAACAACAATGAACATAATACAAAACAATTGGCAACAATATTTTTACAAAACATAATAAATGTTGTCCCCATTTTTACAACCTACCACACTTACTCTTCCCCGCAAATACTGAGTCACTAAGGGAAGAAAGGCTTATAAGAAGTTTAGTTAGAGACTAGAACTACGGCCTAGGCGTGTAACTCTTAGGAGCAAGTAGGTGGTATTGAGATTGAATGCTTAATGGGAGGCAGAACCTCTTTTTATATAGTGGTCATAGGATCTTCGAATCCTAGTAGAACTTTGAATCTGCATTGGCAGAGTTCTAGTAAATAGGAAAGACACTGATTTACTTGCCTTAGTAGGATTGAGAATCCTAATTCACAAAAGATACATGATCTTAAGTGAGTTAGGATAAAACCCAAATAGGAAGTATATTAGGGTTTTAGTGGGATTTTGAATCCTTGGAGGTTACCATGG